CCGAGCAGGGAGCCTGATGCGGGACTCGATCCAGGGACTCCAGGATCATGACCTGAGCCGAAGGCAGTCGCTCAACCAACTGAGCCACCCAGGCGCCCAAAAAGAATTTTTTTTAAATAAGCTCCATACCCAATGTGGGTCTTGAACTCTTGACCCAAAGATCAAGAGTCACACACTCTACTGACTGACCTAACCCCATTTTGTTTCCTTTTTAAAGCTGGTTTCCCAGTCCTCAATCATGAGTTATATTTGCATTTAAAATATGCATAGTTATTATTATTAATAATACAAGTAACATTTTATACAAATTGGAAAACAGACTTAGATCTTCTCCTAGATGTTATTGGGGCCCTGTTTTCCTTAAGGGCAGATAGAGGCTCCAAGGTGAACTGAGGGCAGCTTTAAATGACTGTTGCCAGTAGCCGGTGTGACAAGGGAATGGAGGGGCTGGGTAGGCTCTTCTGGCCTTCCCTGCTAGGGTGGGTGTCCCTTTTCTGCAGTGACTGCTGGAGGAGAGGGTTGCATGACTCCTACTGCCAGATCCAGGGCCTTAAGGCACTACAGGGTTCTGAAGACATTGTCCCAGCCCTTTACCCTGACTTTGGCTTCCTGTTAACTTGTCTCAAAGGAGCTCTTTCCAGAACACCTCTGCTAGTGAAATCGTAGGTTCTGGTGTGGTGGTGTTCTGTAGCTTCCTCAAGGGGCTTCCATACTCCCCTGCCTCATCTTGGACCTCACTGTGATCTCCTTTTTCTCTCAGAGTTCCAGCCCCTTCAGACCTGGACCCATTGTCCAATCTTTTACTTGCTTCCTAGCCAGTACCCTTACTCTTGCCCTGTTGCCCTTCTGGAGCCTCTGCTTTGTAGAACACCACCCCCGAGCAGTCTAGCCTGTGCTTTGTCTGTTCTCGGACACAGGCTATCCTGAATTCAGGGTCTCCTCCTGAAGTGGCCCTGTGCATGGATGGCCCCACGGGGTCTTGTCTTGAGGAAGACCCTTTTCTTTTTGCCTTCTGTGACCTTTTCAGACCCTCCCTTGTTTCTCTGTTTACATCTCTCTTGGTGGATTCATCCACATTTAGCTTCACCTAGCCCTTGTGCCCTCCTAAACCTTTCTGCTAAGCTTTATATCCACATGTCCTTTGCTGTCTGGACCTCCAGTTTGGTTGCTTCATTGGCCCCTCAAAAGCTGCAGGTCCCAGACAAACCCCAATCCCTCATTCTACCCCAAAGCTGCTGCTCCTCCAGTAGGCCTATCTGCCGAGGTCTCTTTCTTTACACTCCTCTTCAGTGATGGTGTTTGTTTCGTCCCCCGGCAGTTCTCTTGTGGAACTCAGAGTCTTCTTGAATTCCAGCCTCTGACTTAAGAATATTCGTGCAGTTCTGACTCCTTGGCTTTGAAACATTTTTAAATCCAAGGAACCCTTTGTTCGAATGAAATCTTTCTAAGAAGCCCAATATGCAACATAAATAAAACTAGAGGTCGTGGGTTGGGGGTGGGGGGCGGGCGGTTCCTGTCCTGCCCTTAGCCAGGCTCCCTGTGCTGCCCTCCTCCTCCTCCTTGAGGCAGATTTGGCATCTGGCCCCTGGACTCTGTACATGCAGCTCCTGGAGTTACTGCCAGTCCTGTCCTGAGGGCACTCTGTGTATTTGAAAATCACTTTTATCTGTTTTGCACCCACCTCTTTCCCATTGGTTTTCCTTTGGAAATTTTTAATTGTGACTGATAAACATAAAATTAGTGCCAGTGATGAATCTTGCCAAGGAAAAGGAAAGCCACTTTGGAAAGTGAAACTGGGTTTGAAAAAGAGCCAGCTCCATTAAATGCTGAAACCTTCAGAAGTGCCCAAGGGCTCTTTTCAAAATTTACATCTCTTCTGACTGTACCTTTCTGTCTTTAAAGCTGCATTTCTAGAGCATGAACATTCAAGATAAACTTAGTTTAATTTTATGTTTTTGTTTTGTCCCTTTACCAGTATAGCAGGTTTATTCAACCCATAATATGACTAAAACATTAAATATTTGCAGTGAAAAATATAAACCTTGTTCTATTGACTCCAAATGCCCCCCTCCCCCCCATCTTCCCTGCTCTCCAGTGCATCCCACACACTGTGGCCAGATAGAGCAGGTTGTAGGATGTAAAACTTCCACTGCCAGTAGGGTGAAGTCCAGACTCCTCAGGAAAGCACGCAGAATCCTCCAAGAGCTCCCCTCCAGTGACCCGTCCCACTCACCTCCCTCTCTCTTACCTGGACCCTGCTCTTCTGCACATCCTTTTCCCTGGAGGTGCCTTTGTCTCAAATGTCCTTCTACTAACACAGCACTTGCAAAATGTCAGTCTTGCATGTACCACTTTCACACTTTTTGCCGTATTTGATTACCATAATCATTCTTGTAATATTTAACAAATTGACTTAAAAATTGAACTGTTTATTTTTAAAGATTTTATTTATTTATTTGAGAGAAAGTGCACACGGAGGGGAGGGGCAAAGGGAGAGGGAGAAGCAGACTCCTTGGTGAGCAGGGAGCCTGACCACGACCATGAGGGCTCCATCCCCGGACTCCGGAGATCATAGCTGAAGACAGATGCTTAACCAACTGAGCCACCCAGGTGCCCCTAAAAATTGGACTTTTAACTTAAAAGCATTATTACATTTAGAAATGAAAAATAATGAAATACAAATAATGTAAATCTAATCAGTTTATTAAAACACATTCCTTCAGTAAGGTTCTCAACAAAGCCCCTTCTTCGTACTTAAAAATTTTTTAAACTGTGTACCTGATGATAGATGATATTAAGGAGTTGATTTTTTTCTTTTTTCTTTCTTTTTTTTTTTTTAGGTGTGCTAATGGTGTTGTGATTATATAGGAGAATGCCCGTATTCCTGGGGGACAGCAGCTGAAGAGTTTAGAGGTGAGATGTCATGATGTCTCCCAACACTTCCAGAAAGCTCAGGAAGTATATGTATATGCCCATGTGTATACACAGAGCTAATCAGGAAATTGTTAATCGTTTTTTTAAATTAAATTTAATTTTATTATGTTAGTCACCGTACAATACATCATTGGTTTTTGATGTAGTGATCCACGATTCATTGTTTTCGTATAACACCCAGTGCTCCATGCAGTACGTGCCCTCCTTAATACCCATCACCGGGCTAACCAATCCCCCCCCCCCCCCTCCCCTCTAAAACCCTGTTTGTTTCTCAGAGTCCATAGTCTCTCATGGTTTGTCAATTGTTAATCATTTTTTAATCAATGTGGAGAGTATTTGGAATTTTTTCTACATCTCTGTTTGAAAACTTTGATGAAAGCCTGTTTTTTTGGGGGGGGGGCATAAAAATGGCTGCAAGAAAGTTGGTATTTTAAAAAAGTCTTTAGCCGCAGCTCATGATGGGTAACACACAGAGCACAGACCCACTTGTTGGAGTGATGTGTAGACTATCACATTTTCAGTGTGGTGGGAACACCAGATAATTAAAGTTCTTTTTAAAAGATTATTAATTTAAAGTTGGGGTACAATTGATGTACAACGTTATATTGGTTTCAGGTGTGCAACATAATGATTCAGTATTTGTGTATATTGGGGGATGGCCATCGAAGTAAGTCTAGTTAACATCCATCACCACAAACAGTTAAAGCTTTTTTTTTCTTGTGATAAGAACTTTAAGATTTACTCTCTTAGCAAATATGCACTACAGTGTTATTAACTGTAGTTGCATGCTGTATGTTAATCTCTAGGACTTAATTTATTTTAGAACTGGAAGTTTGTGTTTTTGATGTTCTTAATAAAATTGTATTTAACCAATACCTGTGAAGTTGCAGTTGCAAGTTTTATATGTTAATTTTTTTCCCCCATTCCACCACAAAAATCCTATATAATATACTTTACAAGAAAGAGTCTTTGTAGCCCCTACATTTTTTTGTGACCCACCAGGGGCTTGGGTGTAGCACAGAGAGGAATGCACTGAGGAAGTCCCTGCTTGCCCTTTCCAGGACTCTGACTCTGGTCTTGTGTGAGGTCTTCCTTCCTGGCCTCTTGCAGGCCAGAGTAACTACCCTTTGCCCTGGGTCGCACTGGCATTCTGCATATTCCACTCTTATAAATGTTACAGCTGTAATGATTTGTTCAGTGTTTCCCATCTCTACGTGACTGTGAGCTCAAGGACAGAGACCCTGCGTACAGTACCTCGCGCACAGCCTGGCAGAGGGTGGGGAGTAGATCAGCTATGACTGATGGAGGCACAGAAACAATGTTGCCGCACCGCGGTTTAGAACATTCTTTCTACTTGAAGATGTACTGTGTTCTAAACAAGAAGCTATTATGTTTAACCAGATTCCCTCTTGTCACTCCCAGGCTTAGAGCCTGCCCGTGACTTTCCATAGTCATTAGAATAAAATGCAAACTCCTTTTGTGGCCTATAATGCCCTTTGTGATTTGTCCCCTGTCCATATCTGCCACTTGTCCACCACTTTCCCACAATACAGCCTCATGTGTTCTCTGGCCCTCCAAGCACACCACGTTTGTTTTAGTTCACTCCTGTTCATCGTAGGGGGTTCAGCTCAGCGATGGAACTTTCCCTAAACATCCTTACCTCCACTCCAGGCACTGCTTTCTCATTACTGTTTGGTTTTCTTTATAGCACTTATTGCTATATGAAATTATCTTATTTTCAGTTCATTTTAAGATTTAAATTAAAAATATTTAATTTATTACATATGCTTTGAAGCCACACTGTAGAGAATATTAAAATCTACTCCAAGGATGTTTTTCCTTATTGTTCCTTGTGACAGAACTAGACAGTACCCTAATGCATTGTTCTTGTGTTTACTCTTGTGAACTTCATGAAGACAGGAACTGGGTTTTTTTTTTTAATTAAATTTTTAATTTTAATTCCAGTATAGTTAACAGAGTGTTATTAGTTTCAGGTGTACAGTATAGTGATTCAGCACTTCCATACAACACCTGGTGCTCATCACAAGTGCCCTCCTTAATGCCCGTCACCTGCTTCACTCATCCCCCCACCCCCCTCCCCTCTGGTAACCATCAGTTTGTTCTCTGTAGTTAAGAGTCTATTTCTTGGTTTGCTTCTCTCTCTCTCTCTTTCCCTCTTTCCCTTTGGTTGTTTGTTTCTTAAATTGCACATATGAGTCAAATCATATAGTATTTGTCTTTCTATGACTGGCTTATTTAACTTAGCACAATATTCTCTGGCTCCATCCATGTTGCAAATGGCAAGATCTCATTCCTTTTGATGGCTGCATAATGTTCCAAATTGTATTAAAGAAACGAGGAGGCAGGAGTTTACTGCTACTTGTTGTCCGTGGAGATGCATCTTCTTTAAGGAGAGGAGAAGGTTTAGAAATAGCACAGGGTATACACAGATGCTTACAAAAAGTCACACTCATTTTGTCAAGGGTAGTACTTTCGAAATATTGTTAATATTTTTTGAAAAGTGGAGGTCTAAGCTGCAAGAGAAGGAAAGGGGCATGGGGATGCTTATTTCATGAGGTCCTCTCGGTGTGAATGCTGGAACTTCTCCCAAGTTGCTTTTAGGTTCAGCGTTAAACTTGACAATGTAACATGTTGGAGTCCTTTTCCTCTGCCCTTTGAGGGGGTTTTTGTTTATTAAGTGTGAAAGACTGAGTCATGTGGAAGGGGCATGGGAGATTGCTGTAAGCAGGTTAGACTGTCATCCCCCAAGACCACAGGGACTTTGTTTTGTTCACCACTTGATAAGTGTGAATGAGTAAATAAGTGAACTCTTAAAGTAAGCATCACTATATTAGTAGTCATGGACAGTAAAATGACTCCAGCATTTTCAAAATTTTCAAAAATTTCCTTTTTTTGTCCAGAGACCAAATTCTTAAAACATGCAAATTAGAACACAGTGAGATACCATGACATACTCAGTAGATTTGCAAAAATGTTTAAATCTCACTGTAGGAAGTAGGTGTGTGGAGCCATGGGAGCTTTCTTCACCGATGCTGGGTGTGAGATGGTACAACCACTTTGTGAAAGTTCTGTCTGTGGCGGGGAGGCTGGCTCTGCCATCTTCCAGGCTGTGGCCATAAGGTTCCTGGAGCCCAGAGGGGCCATGGGGTCTGATGGTGAGTGAGCAGGTGGCTCCTCTGGAATGAGGAGTGTGAACTTCGAATTCTAGTACTTTATCTTCCTTTGTGCTTTAATTTGTTAATGACTGTGTTCTGGATCTTAGAATGCTCTGTATTTTCTTTTCTTTTGCTGCTAAAGGTATGGTTCCCAAAAAGACAGCAGTCTAACTAAAGACAGAAACAGATACATTGTCTTTGATGAAATAAGTCTTCCCCACTGCATACTTGGCCATCTGAGGCAGAAAATTGACAAATAATTGTAGACTTTATTTTCTCTTATTTTTATTTTATTTATTACTATTATTATTATTTTTTTTTTAGAGAGAGAGAGGACGGGGGCTGGTAGGGAGAGGGAGAGAGAATCTTAAGCAGGCTCCACGCTCAGCGCAGAGCCTGATGGGGGCTCGATCTCACGACCCATGAGATCATGGCCTGAGCTGAAATCAAGGGTCAGACACTTAACCAGCTGAGCCACCCAGGTGCCCCTCTATGTTTAACTTTTTTGAGAAATTGCCAAACTGTTTTTCCAAAGTGGTTGTGTCATTTGACATCCCCACTAGCAATGTATGAGAGTTGCAGTTTCTCCACAACTTTGCTGACACTTGTTAATGTCTCTCTCTTTCTTTTTGTTTATAGCCATACTTGTGGCTTTAATTTGGGAAATAGATATTAAAACACAAGGAAATGCAAAGAAAAACAAGACTGCACACAAAGAAAAACCACAGTGAGATGACGTACACAGCCATCAATTATGCCAGTATTTAACAGTTGACTGTAGAAAATGAGTAGATGCAGGTCTGTTAATTTTTATGACTCAGAGATGATTTTGGCTTTTTAAGTGATTTTTATTGAGGTGAGGTTGCCTTATTTTAAAAAAACCATTTTTGGGGGCGCCTGGGTGGCTCAGTCAGTTAAGCGTCTGCCTTCAGCCCGGGTCATGATCTCAGGGTCCTGGGATCGAGCCCCACATCGGGCTCCCTGCTCCACGGGAAGTCTGCTTCTCCCTCTCCCACTCCCCCTGCTTATGTTCCCTTTCTCGCTGTCTCTGTCAAATAAATAAAATCTTTAAAAAATAAATAAATAAATAAATAAAAAATAAACCTTTTTAAAGTAAACCCTACACTCAATGTGGGACTGGAACTCCTCACCCCAAGATCAAGAGTCTCATGTTCTACCAAGTGAGCCAGCCAGGCGCCCCAGCTGAGTTTGCTTTAGGTTTTCATTTTGGGGTCCTCCAACTTCATAATTTCTCTCTGCTGTATTGAAGTTCATGCCAGCTGTGTCTTTATTCATTCACTCACTCCATCAGTACTCACTGAGGGCCTGTCTGCTCTCAAGAGTCCAGTCCTAAGGGAGCCTAGGACACCCCTGTCAGGCACTGGAACATGGGATTTTGTAATGTGGGTAGAAAAAATGTAAAATGGCTGTACAGTTCAAAGGTAGACTAGATGTGCTGTTTTTCAGAGCTTTTTACCAAGGAATACCTGTTAACCTATGACAACTCTCAGGTGGATTTTTTATTTATTGTTCAGTGATTCATTGGCTCGTGGTTCTAAAAACTTTCTGCGAAGTGGTCTGTCTTCTTTCCTGAATTGAGGCTTTAGAATGTGCAGTAAAATGTCTAAGAGGAAGTGATAGAAGATGAAGAAATCCATTTTGGAAAAAGTTTGTAAAGATTGTGATTTTTGAATTGCAGCTGGGTATGTGGAGAATGAACTTAGGTTTTAGATTTGGCTATCACTTACTGGTTCTGTAACCTTGGGCAAGTTAAAAACTTCTTTAAGCCTCATTTCCTTACCT